CCCCAAAACCCCAAAACCCCAAAACCCCAAAACCCCAAAACCCCAAAACCCCAAAAAGTTTATCTACCATTGAATAATAATCTATGATTAACGTTTTATGGTGTTAAGTAGATTACATGAAGTTTTAGAGCCAGTTCTGGATTGCCTTTGGCATTTAATCCACCTCTGTACAGGTTACATGGCGCCTTACCTTTCATTCCTCTTAGTTTGTCTACTGGGAGGATCCTTGAACCCAACTTTTTCTTAAAATATCTTTGAGAAGATCCTGAAGAACTCATCTCTGTATCTTGTTCTGCTTTGTTCTAAAGTGGTAAGAGCTTATTAAAGAGGGAATTTCAGGATTTTATTAATAAAATTTCTAAATTTCAGAGATTTCTGAATGAAAATTATCCTGTTAGTATGATTATCATCAAGGAAATTTAGAGATTTTTCGTTATTTCTTATGATACCAATTTTACATGTTCGAGAAAAATATTGTTAGTAAAGAATTACAAAAGAAAGCTAAAGATTTTTAATCTTTAAATGAGGAGATGCTACTAAGTTTGTTGATTTAGATAGGAATTATATTGAAATTATACACTTACAATTCCGGTCCTCTCAGTTTGCCTTCAGGCTCTCTTCCCATAAAGTTCATCGAACACAGTATTGCCTATAGAGGGGTGAACAGGAAGAGTACAGTCTTCGTAGAGGGAGAGATCTGTGTGGATTATTCTGAACTTTGAACGGGATTTTGGGTGGGTGGGGAGGAGTTTGAAGTAGGGGAATGTGAGCTGAAGGAGGGTTAGAGGGGGAAGGGAATTTGAGTGTGAGGTGGGTTTAGGAGGGTTTTGGGGAGTTTTAAGGGGTTTTGGGGATGGTGTTGGGTAATTGGGGGTAGAGGTTTGGAGTATTGGGGAGTGTATATTGACGAGGATTTGGTATGAAGAAGTATTTTAATTTGGTAGATGTCAAAGAAAGATGTTATAATAACAACAAAAATTGTGTTTATTTGTTTTTAAAAATTAGCATAAGATTTTCTTTAAGAGTAATGCAAGCCTAGAGCTATTTTATCGAACTGAGAGTGAAACTCTCAAAATTGGAAATAATGATTATTATAAACACCTACGTTAATTAGAGGCTTGAAGGGTTTTCTGGCAAAATCCCTCCCATAATCATTATCAATAGTGGGCGTGCCGTACTCGTCTATTAACTTGTTCATAACTGTTGGAAGTTTCATGTTCCGCTTTGATCTCCTACGCCCATTATTTTCGAACAATGACTGGTTGGTCAGGCTACTTCTTGGCATGAAAAGATTAAATTATTCAATTATTTTTAAATACTTGGGGTTTTGGGGTTTTGGGGTTTTGGGGTTTTGGGG